GCCCGGGGGGCAGGCGGGGGGGGCGACGGCGGGGTCCCGGCCGGAGAGGCCGCAGCGGGAAGGGTCCGGGGGCGGGGCAGCTAGGAGGCAGACACCTCGGACCCGCGGCGGGAAACGGGCTCGAAGCGCAGAGACGGCCCCGTGTAGTCAGGCAGGCGGGAAGGACCGAGTCCCTGTCGAAGGACAACCACGCTGCAACTAACTTGATAACCACGGGAAGCCAGAGCGAGGAGCAAACGTCTCCAAAGTGCCCCCAAGCGACTGCCCCTCCCACCGCGTCCCGTGAAGTGCCATTTAAAACCGGTGGGTGCAGACAACTCCAGACACACAGGACTGAGAGCACCTCCGCACACCCTCACTGAACGGAAGGGTAAGACTCGGGGGGGGAAGAGCCGAATCCAGAGGGAGAAGGAGCCGAGGAAGGAATGCTCTGCAAAGGCTGTGTTTACAGTTTCCCACGTGTTTACCAAACACGGATGGAGACTGTGCTGGGGGCCGCGGAGGGAGGGCAGGGGTGCTCTGGCACAACCCGCATCCCCTGCAGGCAAAGGGGCCTCCCCGTCCCACGGGCACTCCTACACGTGCACACGCACGTGCACATGCTCACACGTGTGCACACACACACACACGCACGCACAGTGCACGCACACACACTCACGGCCAGACCATTGGAGGGAAGCAACAGCAAAGGAAGAGACTCAGCCCGTCAGCCTCGCCCCCTGTGACTGCAGGAAGCCAATCTCATTCGAGGGGATAAAAAGCTAGAACTAAAATACTGGGCAAGAATAATAAGAAAGGTGGGAGGAGCTGACAGGAGTGGAAGTACTTCAGATCCTTCTCCTTGTTTCAGAGAAAGGTAGAGAAATCAATTCCCAGCTTAGGTAGACATGCCAAACCTACAGGGCTAACGGCTGAAAACAAACAGAAATAGAGCGGAAGAAGCAGCAGAGGGGGAAACAGGAATGGAGGAGACTCTCAGCCCCTAGAAGGCAGGACAGGGTCGGGGGAAGCCTGGACAGGTCAGGACGAATAGAAAGCACAGGGGAGACAGAGTGACATCAAATGTACCATCATCACACTAAACGTAAAGGACTAAACTTGCCAGGAAAAAGACATTGACGCTTGGAGGACTATCTCAAACCCAGGCTGTGCTGCTTACATAAGAAAGTTAGGGGAAGAAAACAAGGGAGGGCCCCTGAGGCCCAGATCCTTGGCAGGTGAAGGCTTGGGTCACCTCACCTGCTGAGGTCACACAGAGGTCAAGGGGCAGTGGCACCTGATGCGGAGGAAAGTCCCACGTTGTTCCTGTCCCGCCACCCCTTTCCGTCCACCCACCGAGAAGAGCACTGTGCATCCTGTGTGCTGGCGATGTGAGCTTTGCAACCAGAGCAAGGACAGGACTGGGTAAGTGTTATGGGCCAGAGGGGTGGAATGTTTCTGGTGGTTCTTTTCTTTTTTAAGACAGATTTATTAAGATATACTTCACATACCAAAAATTGTGCCCATTTTAATATGCGCTAATAGTGGCAGTTATTACACTGGCAATGCCATGCAACCGTCACGACTGTCTATGTTCAAAACATTTTCATCACCCTTAACAGAGACTCTGTCCCTGTTAAGCAGTCACTCCTCCCCCAGCCCCTAGTCACCTCCAGTCTGCCTTCTGTCTCCATGAATGCGCTTATCCTAGATATTTCATGTACATGGAATCTTAGAATATTTGTCCTTTTGTGTCTGGCTTCTTTCCTTAGGATCGTG